TATGAAAATTAAATACCCTTATAAGGGTTTATGAAAGTGCAACGTAGACTAAACCCTTTTAGGGTTTATGAAAATCAAATACCCTTTCATAAACCCTTCTAAGGGTATATGAAAGGGATTAAGAAACTTTTCACATACGGTAAAAGGGTTTAGTCTACGTTGCACTTTCATAAACCCTTAAAGGGTTTATTATTCTACCCTTTCTTTTTACAGTGTACTCTTGATTGATTTTTTTAAATGAAAATTATCAATTAGATTAATTCAATGAAGTTAAAAATCGATAATAAGTCAACTACCCAGTGAAAAATTATCATAGAAAAAAAACGGAAAGGAACGCATTCATCAGAATAGGGAAAGCTACATTTTTCATGAAGAACGCTTTCTATAAGTTGACGAATGTGTTCACTACTGAAACGAACTCGTTCAACATCTAAGTGAATGCATTCTTCAACGTTTCATATTGTTATAGAATGTTTTCTTCCAAATTCAAAAACCTTTCTTCATCAGAATAGAAAGCCTTCTGAACCGTTCCATTCACTATCAGAATGGTTTTCTTGTCATTCTATTTGGAAAAGGTCAGGATTGAGTTCCATTTTGAGTAAATCGTGTTCTCTCACATTCTGAACAGCACCGGTGAGTGTAACCAAAATAATAATATTCTTCAATCAACTCAATATTTTAGGAGAATGAATGATTTTCAGTTTATGGGGATTCGAGTTTTATTTTTTTAAATAAAAAATAAGATATCACAGTCTTCAAACGAACGGATATGATCGAGTTCTTTTTCGTGAAAAGTCTTCAGCATACATAGCATGTTGAGATACTGGTCATTGTAGATTTCTTCACTCACTTTTTGGTTGAATAGTAGTCACAGGACTTTCTGATGGTGGCATTTCGGATTCTGCTGTTTCGCAAGCTGTTGGGCAGTGATTATATACGCTATAATTCTTGCAACACATACAGCATAGGTATTTCCAAAAATGCCATATGTAGGTCCATGGATACCATTCATACTGTTCACAAAAAATATGAACCAAACAAAAACACCATCTGTAGTGACAGCAGATTCCTGAACATATTTTTCGAATGAAATATGGAAAATGTGAAATACATGAGCAGTTTGATTCGTTACACCTACATGAGAGCTTTGATTCGTTACACCTACATGAGAGCTTTGATTCGTTACACCTACATGAGCGCCACAATGCACAAGACCAGCCAATCACTATCATGATGACGAGAACAATGAAAACAGTAGTACCAAGTTGAGATAGGCCATCATCCCAAGTTGCCCATAGCGTCAATGCTAGCCCAAGAGCACCACCTATTGGAAGGATGATACACAAGCAACTTGCCCAATGGTACTTTTTATAGTATGGCATGTAATAAACTAAGGGAAAGATACACGATACTATGCCGAGTAGCCCACCGCATGTACCGAGAGCGTCAAGTACATCTTGAGCGCTTTTGTCTTTATAAACCTATCCTACACACCATGCAAGGCCAGTATAGCCAGTGATATTGAGGTATTGTCCATCAACACAACTGTATGGACTATAGTCATTTCTCCCATCGTTGGAGAAACAGTCAGCGCTATATTTAGGACATTTGCTACCATTTTTTACTAATTCATTTGACAGGATTAACTTAACGACGATGATTGATACAAAAATTCCAAGAATAGCAGCTGCCATCAAGTCACTTAAAAAGCGTATGAAACATTTTAATTCAGGCACAGCAACTTCACCGTCCCCAAACTCGATAAAAAGATATTTTTCGAAGGGGGTAACCGCCTCGTCTTTTCCTACAGTAACAGCGACATCCATTTCACATTGTTTACAAGTAACTAAATTCTGTATACTCTTGTTCTTTTCGTCTTCTTTTTTTCCGTCTTGTTTTCTCGAAACAGTGCTGTTATTTTCAGGAGGCTCACATTTGGACGCTTTCTTTGAGTCATTATTCGATTTCGTGGCTATTCCCAGAATAGTACTGAGAAGAAACCAGTCCGTACGTTTATTAATAACACTAATTACAAAGAATAACAGGACAAAAGAACCTAACGGAATTCCCCCAGACAAAGCTGTATAATTTATTTTAGTTGGTAGCATTATCAAATGATATTAGGTAGTTGTAAATTGCAGCTGTCCTTCTTCTTCGTTGACTACGGACAAAAGGAGTTGAATGCCAACAATGAAACCAGATCGTAAACAATGAATATCTTGTTGAAAGAATTGAATAATGTTTTTTCGTGCTCTATAAAAATACAAACGAATAAGAATGTGTACTTTACTTTTCGGACAGACGCTATCAATATATAATTTTTCTGGATTTTTTACTTGCTCAGATGATATTTCAGTATACCCACACCCGCGCATTTTATATATTGAGGAATCATTTAGGATTTATCCGAAAATGCTTACCGATTTCGGACCAGAATAATGACTCATGTATTCTATTCTGCGTAAAGGCATGCGTGTGGGTGTGAGTGTGGGTGTGGGTGTCGGGGTGCGTGGGCATGTGCTTGTGGGTGTGCATTTGCATGTGGGTGTGCTTGTGCATGTGGGTGTGCTTGTGCATGTGGGTGTGGATCTTGTCTTTACCCACACCCACNGTCGATAATAAAATAGGCTTACATAGAAAATCTTAGTTAAATTTTTTTATTGCTGAAATCTGTGTAATGGGATTAATGCTCTTCACTTTCAATGAAGAGCATTCGAAGAACAAATTTTATTTGCATACTAATATTGATCCTTAGATGACTACTAGGGCTGTCAGAGTTCCTGTTCCCTTGGATTCCAGTTCCTGAGGAATGGGAACCTACCTCAAATTCCTTCACATATATTTCTGAGTAACTACACCTAACCATACGGATCTATTTTTCAATTTTTATTAGATGACTATGGGTTCCCGGGTTCTTAAAAACGTAGGATCCGGTCGGGTTCGCGTTCCCAAGAACTCGGAAACCCCTAAAAAATTCTTTTAATCTAATCTCGATCGTCGGGTTATATTCAGAATTTAATTGTTCTATTATTTCATATCAGATGACTGTGAATTTTTGGGTTCTCGAGTTCCTAGGAACACACGAACGCATGGCAGTTTTAGGCTAATGCATAAAATAGCCGTATTTAGATCCGTCTAAATCAAAGGCGCTTGACTTTAATCACTTGAGAGTGGGTTCTGGCTTTCCCAATAGTGGGCTTTGTTTCAAGTGCATTCCGCATTCCTAGGAGCCCGAGAACACAGTCAATTGACATAAATTAGCAGGACAGTTATATTTAAATATAATCTGATGATCCAAGTTTCATTGGAAACGTTTTTTTTTTCAGTGGGTTCCGAGTTGTTGGGAACGCAAACCCAATCGGGTTCTACGTTCTTAGAAACCCAGGAACCCGTATTCATCTAATAAAAATTGAAAAATATATCCACGTGGTTGCGCGTAGGTACTCAGAAACACATTTGAAGGAATTTGCGGTATGTTCCCGTTCCTCAGGAGCTGGAATCCAAGGGAACGGGAACCTTGACAGCCCTAATCGGGGCGCCTCTTTGTGATCAGAAGCGCGTTTAGAGGAAAACTTTCGCCAATTTCTGAAACACTCGAGTTATTTTCTATTAGCTAATTCGCATAATTTGTTATTTATGGAGGTAGACACACGCCAGAAATGTATCTTGTTCCTCAGTTTAGTCTTATGAAGTCACTGCAATGATTCAGTAGAAGCTATGATACATTGGGGATGAGCAAATTTGCTTGATAGCACATGTCGATCGACCGGCCGGCCAGCTTGAGTCAGACCGGATGCAGCCCCGGTCAAAAAACTACCTGACCGGCTATATATCTGGTTTAGGTGTATGGTCACATCTAGATGCATTTATCGGATGTCTTCTGGATGCATTCAACAGTACAATCCCATCTATGTGAGTTTATCAGACGCATTTGAACGCGTGGGAACATGTATTTTGCATTTTAATGCGTCTAGATGCATCCACTATGCGTTTGAGTTTTATATGGATGTACTAAATGTATGTAGTGAGATAATTCAGAGCTGCAACTGGTATTATCTAACGGCTTGTCTGACGCGAATCAGCATAAAATTCGTTATCGTCGGTATTACAACCGATCACTACAACTTTTCCAAAACCAGTTCAATCAAAATATTTTTTAGAATTTTCTCTTGTTTTTTTTTCTCTATTTTTACATCCTTTCCCAAGGCATTGACTGCTAAGCAAAGATATTTTCAGAAAGTTCGTTCAATAAATCAAATTTATGTTTTCATTAAATTGCATATGTTGATCACTACATTTGAGATAGATGAAATATGAATTTGTTTCGGTATTTCATGTAAACCAAATGATAAATGCCTAGTTTCACTTTTAGAGACTCATTAGAAACCAAAATAATTATCATGGACGATTTTTCATATTACCAAACAAATGATTTGCTACACGCTAATGCTTGGTCTCAGCAACCAGGTCAGAATCCATGGGTTACATCCGTGCCAGTTGAACAGCATTACTATTCCAACGCCGGGCAATATGTCGTAGGAGAAACTCCTCAAGGGTATCAACCACAAGTCGTGTCTGGCAGTGATCACAAGAAGACGAAGCAAACAAAAGAAATTCAACAGAAAAGTCAAGCCGTGTCTAGTAGTGATCACCATAAGAAGAAACATACAAAAGAAATTCAACAGTTAAACGAAGCCGTGTCTGAAAGTGATCACCACAAGAAGAAACATACAAAAGAAATTCAACAGTTAAACGAAGCCGTGTCTGAAAGTGATCACCACAAGAAGAAACATACAAAAGAAAGTGAACAGTTAAACGAAACCGAATATTTAAGAGAAGAACGTTTCTTGGGCCTTCCCATTAGTGCAGAATCTTTATTAGGTGTTCGTTTTGGGTCTGCATCTCCGCTTTTTATTGAAATAAAAAAATACCTCAATATTGAACCAAACGATTTGCCTTCGAAAACTCCAGAAATGATACCAATGTTTGTTGAAAAAGCAGCTCAAGGTATTATCGAAGAAGGAAAAAAAATAGAAAAGGAAGAAAAAGTTAAGCAGATGGTAGCAGCGCTTATACAAAACAAGGACAAAGGAAAGGAAGAAGTATGGAAACAATGTGTTTATTTGTACACATCAAAAAATTTTTTATACAACGCATTGAATGAAACTATGAAATTAGTAGGAGACCAGAAACAAGAAAATAAATGGCGAAGCAAAGTACCTACATTAGGTCCATTTTGTTTGTTGTTATTGGATAACCCATTTAACAAAGAATTGACTAAAAACAAAACAATTTACCGAAGTGCTAATATTAAGCCTGAAGAAATTGTTCAGTATGAAGAAATGGCTAAAAGCAAGAGTTCACATCAATCATTTAAAGTGTATACATCTTGCACACGCAATCTTGAAAAAGCAAAGGCACTGGGAAATACTTTATTCACAATGGATGTGTTGGATGGTTTTATTCTGGATATAAGTCCATACTCGAAATATCCAAAAGAGGAGGAAGAACTCATTACACCTGGAGTTTGTTTTTGTGTTAAAAGTGTTAAATTCCACCAAAAGAAAAAAAGATATTTGATTAATTTAGAATTACGACAAAAATTCAGCAGCAGTAAGTAAGAAAAATCTTTCCTAACATGACAGTATTTTATGAAATCCACACTTATCATTTACAAGGCAAATGCTAAGTGTAAGTTCTATCGATCATAAACATTGGTAATTCACGATGCGAAAAGAAAGTATGATCCAATTATTTTTTATCTAATCAGTCCTAGGTTTTGAGTTTTGAAGTTCTATAGACAAGATGCAACTCTAGAGTAAAATAGCTTCTCTTGTTGTACAGTATTGAAACGTTGAAGTGAATTTATCTCCAGTAATTCTAGTTAGTAATGTTAAATCTTTAGTTGAATTCTTGCTTGAATTGTGCAAATAATTCAACTAAAAATCAGTCGATCAAAGGAAAATATATTCTACTTGGAGACACTCACTAAAGAAAAACTCGACATAATGAAATATCATGCCCAAAAATGTACCCAAGAGAATCATTCCTATGGGATTCCGGGTAACGGATGGACTATCGAATCTTTAGTATTGGAATTCGGTCAAATCTAATATCAGGATTCAACCGAATCCAACGGAGGCGTATAGCCCTGGTGTTCTATTGATGTCAGATGCCTTATCGCTTCTAATTAAGAAAATAGCTCTTTTCCATTGGAATCGTCGTCGGTCCGTCACCCGAAATGCCATAGTATTCTGTCGATTGGCAGGATTCCATGAGATCCGATAGGATCCGGTGTCGGATTCATTCAACTGGTTTGTTCTTTCGGCAAGTATATTACAGATGATAATGAACTTCGCATCAAATAGTAATCCTGTTTATAATCAGACGATAATAAGACCGAAAACTTGTGTCTTTATTTTAAAAAAAATTGTATTTTCAGAAGAGATGTGAAGAGAAACGTTATTACATAAAATAGTTTATATTTTAGTTTTAGACAAAATACCAAAGTCAATAGTGCAACCAACCAAACCAAAGAAGCATATCTACTTTGCCTATATGGAAAATGAGCATGATGCACCACTTGCTGAAAGATTAATAAATTATTTTGATCAACGGCGATTTAGAGTTTATTTTCCTCGAGAAAAGGAAGATCTTAATACAAAAATTGCAAATGGTATTGAAAATGCTGCTGTAGTTCTAGTTTTCCCATCTCTTGATTTACAAAAATCAAAAGATGGGTCAAAAATATTGAATTATGCTGATCAAACAAAAGTACCAATGTTAGCTATTAAGATTTATAAAGATTTTCAACCTGTAGACTGGTTAGGTACTATTTTGGCTCTTGCAAAATATTGCTCAAATGATTTTGATGAAGTTATAGATAATCTAATATCAATGAAAATCAATACTAGTGACCTTATTCTTGAAAGAGGTGAAAAAAATGAACCACAACCAATAGACGAATATCTATTTAAGGGCGACACAAAATCGGAAAATGTGAAAGCTAGTTATCATAAATCGGGCGAAGAATTCCCGGTGGATTTTGATGTATTTATTAAATTGAATCAGCATGAATATGAATACTTAATGCATAATGTTTTTTTTAGTTTTTGGGTCTGAAACAGGGAAACGTATTTGGTCAAGGAGATGATAAACATGGAGCTTTTACTCTTACTGGTGAATATAAGCTTGAAGGTACATCTGGTGTTATCGAAATGAAAAAACAGTATGTTGGAAAAGATTCCGTTACATATCAAGGAAAGATTTCATTTGAAGAATTAAAATGTGTGATAGAAGGAGAATGGAAAGAAGACAAAGTAGAAGATAAATTTTCCATACATTTAACTCTTCCACGACCATATACGGGCGATATTGAACAAACACCACTGCCAGAAGTTTCACGAAAAAAAGGAACTAAAGTTATGATTTCTTATTGTCCATCTCAATATGATTTAGCACAAAAGATAACTAATGCATTGATTGCGAAAGATATTCGTGCTGTTTGTCCGCGACTGCAAATTCATGAAATGATAAAAACAGCAGGTAGGAAAGCAGCAGTCGTTGTACCATTAATGAGTAAAGCATATGAATCATCGGATATGGCAAAACGTGTTCTATCCTATGTTGACGAAGCTGATATTCCAATAGTTCCTGTAAAAGCGCAAAAACCTTACACACAAAGTGGTTGGCTTGGTGTTATTTGTGCTGGTGCATTATATACAGAAATGACAGATGTTAAAATATTTGACAAAAAGCTTGATGAACTTATAAAAGAATTAAAACCCTATCTGAACAACTCTGGAGACGAAGAGCAAGATGATATCCTTGTTGATGGTAGTGTTGCTGAAGGTTATTATATGCGATCGGGAAAACAAATTCCTTTAGAGTTTGAAATGTTTAGTATGGTAAATGGATATATTTCTGGTGAAGGGAAGGATGACGTTGGTCCCTTTGTAATTCAAGGGACTTATAATGGCTTACAGGATACGGAAGATTTAAAATACGAATTTAGCAAACATTATGTCGGAAAATATGGGATCCAGTATTCTGGAACCATAACTGCAGAAGATTCTGAATTAATCTTTGAGGGAAAATGGTCTCACAACAACGAATCAGACCGTTTCCATTTAGAAGTACCTGTTAATGAATCATCAGTAAAGTTTCATGTTATGCTAAGTTACAATTGGAAGAGTCAAGAATTAATCAAGAAAATAGCCGGTAAGCTCAAAGAGAACGATGTCCCGATTTGGTTTGATATTGACGGTGATATGAAAGGTAATATCAATGCTGCTATGGCTAGTGGTGTTGAAGGTGCCGCGATGATTATCAGTTTCGACACTGTCGCTTATAGTAAAAGTGCTAATTGCCAAAAAGAATTTACATATGCTACGCAATTGGGAAAATCTATTATTCCTGTTCTTCTTGAGGACGAAAAGGGTTTTAAGGACACATGGCTAGGAAAAGCAATAGCTTCTTTAAAAACATTGAATATGAAAAAGGAAAGTAAATTTGATTCCTGTTTTGATTCTATCTTAAAAATAATTAAGAAAGCTCTTGAAAAGAAAGTTCGTGAAGAGAAAATACGTCAAGAGAAAGAACTTAACGAGCCTCCTAAACCTGAAGTAATAACACGGTTTGAAGGCGGTGTCGTTCGTGGAAAGGATTATAAAGGTGATAAATCTTTTGCTGTGCACTTTGACCTTTTTAGCTTAAGAGAAGGAAAAGTTTTTGGTGAAGGTGTTGATAAGATTGCAGTTTTTATAGCAGCTGGTACTTATGACAATGAAGGAAATGTTAATTTCAAAAAGCAATACGTTGGAAAACATGCTGTTGAATACAAAGGAAAACTTAAATGCGATGAGTTTGGCGGATTCAAGATCAAAGGAAAATGGAACTATGGTAGTGCAACGGGTAAATTCTCTATAAAAAGTGTTTCTCTGACTATAGATGTTGAAAATACTCATTATCATGAAGATAATACAAATATTGATAATAATGAAAATTTTTACGAAGATGCTAATAGTGGTGTTTACGGAGGTGATAATGGTGGTGATTACGGACATGGTAATGGTGGTGATTACGGACATGATGATGATGGTGAGTGCGGACATGATGATCGTGGTGATGACGGACATGATGATGGTGGTGATAATGGTGCTGGTTACGGAGGTGATAGTGGTGGTGGTTACGGAGGTGGTTACGGAGGTGGTTACGGAGGTGATGGTGGTGGTGGTTACGGTGATTATTAGGAAGATGATGCAAATAGTGACGACAGCTGATTACTTGGAATAATACTTATATTATTTTAACCTTTTATCCTTTCTTTTTCCACTTACGACTGATGTATTTATATTTTAATTGAGTTATAGTCGATCATGAATTTCTCAATTCCAAAATAATACAAATAAATATGACTAACTATTGATGTATCATTAAATAAATGCTTGAATTTCATCTATTTCTATAAAGGAGAAATATTTACGTTTGAATCTCATACAATACATAGTGTACAATTCACTTTATCGATACATAAGCAATGGGAAAAGGATAAATCATTTATTGGAACGAAATAGATGCTAAAACAAAAAGCATCAAGCTATTCGGTAGCAAAAGTTCGAGACTTATCGTCTTCTTCATAGGTTTTTATGCGATGAAAGGACGAATGAAGCCGATGAATATCAGTTAGGTCATATCTTCTCTCCTCTTTGCTTAAGCGTTCTTCGATATGACAATTGAATTTAGATAAATCTTGCAACTGTTTAATTACAACATTCAACAAATTTATGATTGATGTGTGACACATCGTTTGCAAATAAAAAGTTTGAATTCTCGGAGTCGATGAAACAAGTTGATCGATGTCATTTGAGTTTAGTGTGGGTGTGGGTGTGGGTGTGGGTGTGGTTGGGTGTGCACTTCAGAGTAAGAGTTACTGTCAGAGTCACACTCTCACCCACACCCACACCCACACCCTCAAATCCACACCCACACGCTCACACCCACACCCACACCCACACCCTCACACCCTCACACCCACACACCCACACCCACACCCAAAAACAATGCAACAGTTAATGTAAATATAAATCGAGAAGGTTCGCTTCGAGGAAACATTGTTTTATTGTGATTGAGTTGAATAGATGTATGTCAAAATGAAATTTTATTGTGAACATATTTATTAGAAAATAAAGATTTCAATTTGAAAGCTAGGCTTTATAGTAAAAAGAAAAACTGAGAATGCCCTGTCCAGATTGAAACTAATTAGTTTTCGAAATTGATTTCTGCCGCCGATGACCAGTGTGAAAGATATAAACTGCGTACCTCACAAATGTACCCCATTTATAACTGAGTTGTACCCGACGTGCACACCATTTGGGACCTGAACAGCTGACAACCCTGAAAAATCTATATATTTCTATGATGGACACATATCTATTGACTCGAACATGTAATTTTTTACTTGAAATGATTAATTTTATTCATCGATCGTACTCACTGTCAAATGCCACAAGATATGTTCTGTTTCTCGGCGAATCGCTTTGATAAATATAGAAATAATATTATTGATCAGTTCCATCCATTCTATGGTAGGCTTCCATGATCTTTGAGACAGAAACTATTTTTGTCTGATGAAATGTAAATAAAAAAATTCAATTAGTAGGTGAGAATATAAGCGTTTATACTTCTGATAGAAAAATTATGCTATGCAAGCAGATTGTACGGTGTATTAATTGTGCATGGACTTGCTAAAGATGCGGGGGGGGGTGGGGTGTGTGGGTGTGAGGGTGTGAGGGTGTGGGTGTGGGTGTGGGTGTGAGCGTGTGGGTGTGGATTTGAGGGTGTGGGTGTGGGTGTGGGTGAGAGTGTGACTCTGAC